CAGGATCCAGTATCTCAATGGGCTGCTGTAATACTTCTTTAAAAAAAAAACTCAAAAAAAAAGAATTTAAATAGCTTTTCATTTAAAAATGATAAATTTGAGCTAACTGTGAAAAGAAGTGAAATATCACAAAACCAAATATGCTAAATGTTCCAGATTCTACTCCGCTAAGATAGAAAAACTAACCTCAAAAGGAGACATCTCAGAATAACAATTATACTCAAACTGCCTATCAGGAGAGGGCAAACAGCCAAGACACTCCCTTTTCCACTGGACTCAAGTTCTTAATAGAAAAAAGAAAGAAAAAAGACTGCCCCAGAGTCAACAGAGGGGCTCTAAATAAAAACACACAAATGTCCTGAAATGGGAAATTAACTTACTGGTGTGTGTTTCATTTTCTAAAAGCCCACAGTTAACTCTGAAGTACAGCCAAACGGAACCATTAAACGGTTCAGTAAGACAGTAGCTGCTGGAGCTCAGAAACCTGCCGCTGCTCCTTCGTGTTCTCATCCTGCCCTGCACCTCCAGCCACCCGCCCAGGACTTCTCACAGTCCTTTATACATCATGAGTACTTCTCACTTTTCTGTTCATGAATTTATGGGAAACAATTATCAACAGTGCTAAAAAATGTTTACTTCCTTGGTCAAGGAAGTCTACTGAAGGAATCTAAAACTATCAGAGATGTCAACACGAGTTGATATATAAGGATATTCTCTGAAGGGCACTTCTAAAGGTTACTTATAAGAGAAAAAAAAAGGCAAAAGTATAAATGTGTCAAGCAATAAGAAAAATCACCAAATCAAGTGAATAAACGGCAACTCCAGAAATCGTTACATAATAGAACACTGTGCGAGCTATCAATATTTATGAGACAGAAAAATGCTCCCCGTACAACACAAATTACGGCAAAAGGCAGGAAATTAAACCGTGCGCATTGGGTGACTCCCCATCGGTACCAGGGACAGCCACCATCTGTGCAGAGCCCCACTCCGCTCCTCAGAAGCCCTCAAGTTAATCCCCCCAATGTCAACACTCCTCATCGTCAAGACCTCGAATTACTGACCTGCTTCTGTATACATTTCATTACTTCATATGTGCAAAGAGTAAGTAGTATTATTATCAGGAAAAAAAAATGTTTGGGGACTCTTAAAATACACCACATGAAAGGCTTGTAAAAGTCATTTTCTAAAGTTAGAAGGAAGATCTCACAACTCTTCAGATGTAACAAAAGGAGAGATGATAAGGATAATTAAGACAGCATCTCTTCTGAGAGTGCACGTAGCAGGGGTGCTGGAAAGATATCAAATGCTCCAAACAACTAAATCAAAAAGAAATAATAAACCCTGGTGGTCAGAAACACGCCACGGTCTGCCTTTAAGAAATGGAAAAGAACTTTTTTAAACCCAATGATGCCAAGTAAGTTCTTACCACTTTCCTCCCCTCCCCTGATGGTTTTTATGCTAAATCTGTGTCCGTTAGGGGCGGGGGTATAAATAACCTAGAAAAGCAGCACCTCATTATTTATGGGAAAGAAACACAGCTCATAACCACCGTACCACGAAGCAGTCATCAGCCTCATCCCTGAAGCGTCCCGGCAGGCTGCCCTGGTAGGTGCGTCTTTACACTGGAATGAATCGTGGGTGGCTTCTCATTCGCAAGGACACGGACCTAACAAGGACGGCCGAAGAGGTGGCTCTCACGCTCTCACACTGATTGAAATACCCTTTCCCAAGATGAAATGTTAATACGCATGCACAGAGACCCAAATGAAGACACATCCACACAAAGTGTGAGCAAAACGGTCCCTGGAAGAGCTGGAAAGGGCAGTCGGCCCCACGAGGCCAGGAGACAGCACCGAGACAGTGCTCTGCGGGGCCCTGAAGACCACCAAGACCCTCTTCCCCTTCTGTCTCAGCCGGGTGAAACCACGACAAAACTTAAGAAAGCCAGAAACCACAGCCCCCTTGGCCTCTCCAAGCCCTCACCTGGCGAAGCAGCATCAAATCTGCACACTCGGCCCTCGGAACTCAACAGCGGGATGGGCGACCATGGCCTTGGTGCCCGGGAAGACTCCCCCTCACCTGTGGTTCTGAGCCACAAGGGCCAGCTCCACACGGCAGTGTTCTCACCCACCAGAAAGGAACCGCCGGTTCAGGAATGAGAGATTCTGACTGACTGACGACGTTGCTCTAAACCTGCTCTGCTTGTTTAGCTAGGAAGCACAGGTGCCACTTAAGTAAGCAGGTGAGTTATTCAAGAAGGCACAGTATTTTAACCATTGGAGATCAGTGAATCACAAGACTCTGAGCCCTTACGTAATTTATCTCCTTGTTTTTATATAGAAAACCTAGACTTCTAGACACTGATAAGAATTTATAACATCTTGAAACTGCCCAGCATAGGTAAGCTCTTGTAGCCTCAAGAGAAATACGTAAATTTAATACAAGCATCCTTTCTGAATGTTGAAAACATGGGAAGTTGTTTTATAACTAAACTAAGATAGCATCTATTACACATATACATATTAAAGAGGAAAAAAAAAACCACTCAGACCAAAATAGAAACAGTTTAAAAATCTAGACAGGAAACTCAGTAAAGAGGTGTTTGAAAAATAAAGCCAAAGGTAATTCAAAAGGCAATTCATTGCCCATTACCCTGTATGTGTGTTGCATGTGAATAGTTTCATCCAGAGATGTGCATGTGAGTCAAGGCCGTTGCCACGGGGGCATGTATGCATTTGGCTGCATTAAATACCACTCCCTACGGGGAAAAGGCGTGCTGAGTAAGGGACCATTTTTAAAACACATAAAGTTCGACTTATGGCACTGATGTCTATAATGTGAAAAAAATGGTAATACTATAAATGTCCAACAATTAGAGAATAATAAAGTGACTCCACTGTGGAATATTTTGCATTCTCAGAAATATTTTCCAATAAAATTCACACCAGGGGAAATCCCTATGAGATGAAAAAATTGTAGAAATAATCAGGATGCAAATACGTAGACACTGTATGACCTCGACGTGTGTTTGTGTGTGCACGTGTGTGTGTGAACACTGGCTGTTGCCAAGTCGGGAATCATGGATAATGTGACTTGTCCTGTTCTCCCAGTTGCCCGTTTACTTCCTCACAACAATAGATACATGTTATTTACAAAGAGCTGGGAGAGGTGGCTGCCATCAGCTGGCCACAAGCACCCCGTCCTCTCCAGGCAGCCTCCTGGGCTGCAGAGGCAGGAAAGCCCAAGTCCACTCCCCAGACTCGCCTGCAGATAAGGATCTGGACAAACTGCGTTCTGCCCACTTGGATTCAACAGCCTGAGATTGTAACGATAATTGTGAAATAAGAAACTTTCTTGGGCTGTTGTTCATGGCAAGTCGTGGAGGTGTTGGCATTTTCTGGGGCATCTCTGGGTTCAGGGTCCAGCCTCACAGGTGACAGGTGGCAACGTGGAGACAGGGCCAAGGTCTGGCAGGCAGGCGCAGGGAGACCAGGTCTCGCACCGCTGCCCCCTCCCCAGGCCCGCCGGCCAGAGCACTCTGTCCAGAACACCCAAGGGCCTACCTGCAGCCTACTCTTCAAGCCCTTCCAAGATTTTCTGAAAAGCAAATTCTCGGTATTGAGTCCTTTTATGTTCAAAACAGCTGCTGTGGTTGTTTGCCACAGCTGAGCTGGCTCACACCCCAAGGTACTGCATGAGTGAGGAAAAAACCCCGACCACAGCGTGACTTCTGACCCACTCTCTTCCTAACTGAACACCTTTTAAAAGGTAATAAATTTTTTAAACTACCAACTTGACTTGTTCATGTACTTGTGAATATGCATGTAAATGAGGTCTGTTCTGACACAGAGCAAAGGTCATGAGGCCAATACAGAGCAGATCCTGCTCCTCTGCAAAGTCGACCGCATCGTGAAGCGCTCCGAAGTATCAGGCTCGTCTCAGTGAGAGACGCTCACCACACACACAACAAAACCCACCAGAAGAGAGAGCCCAACAGTGAGACCCCCTCTTCCAGGAAACCAGAGCCTGCAGCCCACTGCTCTGCCCTGGTAGATTCTGCTCCACTGCAACTTTTTTCTTTCCTTTACTTGAACTAGTACAAAGAAGAGTTTGCTGAAATGGGAAACCAAGTTAAAAGAAATATTTAAGACATGTATTTTTGCACAGATACAAATGGTAAATCAAGCCAATATCAAGCTACGTTCAACATTAGCCTGTGATCAATGTATTTCTGCATTTCTCAATGTATTCGGCGCTCAATTAGTGGCCGCACTGAAAACTGCCTATCAGCTCGCTCAGCAGATGTCTGCTAAAGCTGCCGTACAGGGTGGGCTCAGGCAGGCACGCTTAGGCTCACGGGGGAAGGCGGGAGGCACGACAGACGGGATGATAAGGGGTCTGCAGGCACATATGACAAAGACCATTAACACAAACTGGAAAAAAACAGACCAAACAGACTAGGGTTTATTTACTTAGACTAAATAAATTAGGTCACGGACTAAATTAAATTAGGTCAAAGAAGAAAATATTATTAGGACTGGACAGTACACTTCCATTTGGTAGGGAGATAAAATTACCAGTTGAGCAGTCAGAGCAAATGGCTACGGCACCCACGTTCCCCTCCCCAGTCCACGTGCTGAGACCCTTCACATGAGGGAGCCAACAGGAGTACGTGCCACACACGTGTGAAGTATCCCCGGGGACGCACACACGCTAACGAGAGGCCGCCGGGAAGACATGTGGGGTCACAGGACTCATTGGAGAAAAGGGACCGTATGTACCTATTTCATGTTGAAAGTGTTCATAGGAACACATTCTCTGTTCCAAAAATGGATTCATGAATAAATGTACACGATACTTAGCATGGATTTTATGAGAAAATTCGAGAGCAAAATAACACAGGAAGTGATCTGGATGCTGGTGTGAAGGCCACAAAGGTCACAGTGATGCGGGCCTGTGTCACCGAGGGGAGGGAGACATAGACTGGGGACCGTTACCTTCCTGTCGCAGGCCGGAGGGCTGCTGGCCGTGTTCTGCTTGAGGAAGCCTGCGGTGGTCGACCAGCGGGTGGGGTTTTTCCGCGAAGGCTCTTCGGAGGAGAAGTTATTATCGCTGACGGAGGTGGAGAGGCCGATGAGCGCTGGGTCACTGCTCCGGCGGACGTGAAGAGGCATGTCTACAACACAAGAGAGCATCACGGCTTTTAAAGATAACCTAACGCCTGAAAATCCCACATTTTCTTTAATTGAAGATTAAAGAATAGAGTAACACTCTATAGTGTTATTTAGGTCAGCATCCTAAACAGATGTTCCCTGAGCTCCTTTAAAACACTTCGCTGCAAACAAACTCAGTGTCTGTAGGGTGACCAGCCCCGGGCGAGACAGGCAGGCTCGCGTCTGCCCTTCACACTTGTTACCTGGCGGCTTCATGAAGTGGCCTCACTGTCCCCTGCCCGTGGTCCCTCCCGCACAACAGCAATAAATCAGTGTTTCTCTGCTAAGGGTACCGCGTGCGCTAAATGAGCCCGACACGGGGCACGCCCTCAGCACAGAGCAAAAGCCATCACCACGGCTGCCATCCCCCCAGTGTGTGTTTGGCTGTCTATGAAAGAATTCTGCTGAACAAAATACTTCTTTTGTACAACAAAGTACTATCAGAGAGCACAGAGCACAAGCACGTTGTGTGTCCTGAAGATGACGGAAATCTTAAAGGTAGGACACTGACGCACAGGTGGTACCTGCCACCTACTCACCCGCACAATTACTCAGAAGACAAGTGTTTCAGCAACTGGATTCGTACAAAAGTGGAGAGTGTTTGTTTGTTTTTGTTTGTTGTGCAATTACACCAGCAAAATCAGTAACAGACCCAGGCTAACCTTGGTATGGGAGCGCTGAGAACATCCCTGTAGATCTGATCACTGTGACAATGGAAAAGAAACAGACCCACAAAACCAGAGAGAAGAACGAAGGTGTGTGAGCCTGGAACATTGAGAATCAGAACCAAAAGCCCACTTGTCAACTGAGAGAGAAGCACAATAAATGTAAGACCAAAAAATTTGGATTACATTGTGCTCAGCGTCATCTGCTTTCAAAAACTAGGATGCAAGTTAAATATTTCTAAAAAGCCTCCAACAAAATAGCGTTAGAGGGAATGAGCAGACTTGTCATTCAGTCTCTGGGAGATGTTTTTGGAATATTGATGCACCTGGTCAATAGTGTGGATACGTACATCCTTGAGGATGCGAAGCTAAAGACAGACTATTTATATACATTGAAATCTGTGTTTAAGCCACTGTCAATCCAATGGTCTCAAATATGTTAAAGCAAATTAGGAGCGGCCAGAGGAAAACAGAAGCGTACAAATCGTAACAACGCTGCCTTAGATATGTGCCTCTCCATCACGAGGATGTGGTGACCACGCAGGAGCCTGGGGACTGTCACCGGGGAAAACACGGTGAACGTTTCATCTAATATTGTTGCTCGTTATCTTAATTTATTGAAACACACACATGAAAATTATAGAGAATAACTTCCAATTTTTAAGTGTGTGTAAAAACTGGGACAGCCCTCACTACTTAGAATTTTGCACCAAAAAATAAAAATAAAACAAAGAATGATACAGTCACTCTCAATACAAGTTCACAGAAATATCCATCGAAGGCTCCATGTGTGTTGATAGCACAATGCTCTTACTAAAGAAAAGTTCTCTCCCAACTAACAAAATTGTTTCCAGGTTCAAAACTCAAAAATATAAGCAGAGAAACAGCAAGTGGGGATGAGGGAGAAGACAACACTTCCAGGAAATCTCAGCGCTGCTCCTTAGGTCTGGGTTCTGCCGCTTCCCAGTTACAGGGGCGCCGATCACCTGGTTTTTAAGGAACTCTCTATACTTCCATTTCTCTGTGTGTGTCTGTGTTTAAACCTAAAAGAAGCCCCATTTGTTCACAAAAAGTCTTTAAAAATGGTACAGAGGTAATGACTAAAAGCAGTGCCCACAAAAATAAAACGGCCACATGAAAGTACACTTCAGCCCCCAAATAACTCAGGGGCCTAAGTGTCACTGGATTCGCGTGGACACAATACAAACAGTTTACTCTGCTTGTTTTTGAAAACCTCCCCCAGAGAAATCCACTGCAGACAGGACTGAGATTAGGTAAACAAGTAGGACCATTGTCTTCGGGAGGGACGTGCACCGTCAATCTGCGCCTCTGAAACACGCACACGTAATTAGCACCTGACCTCTCTGTCTCGTAACTCGCACAATCAGAGAGGCAGGGAGCAGGAAGATTCAAGAGCAGGGGGTTGAAGCAGGACGGCGGGCCCTCGGGCTGTGCCCCCGGGGAGGTGCTGCCCCCGCCCCCAGGAACCACACAGGGAGGCGGGCCCAGGAGACACGCATGAGGTCCTCACATCCCAGGTCCCGTTTCCACGTGCGTGAGCGTAATGAAAGACACTAGCACAGTCTGGACCTTTCCTTCCCTCCCTCCTGGAACCCAGCACCCACGCAGTTTCTGGCCCCACCGTTGCAGCTGTAGCCACGGCCAACCTCAGGACCGTGTCTTTGATCTGATCACCAGACAAACGAGAAACCAACTCAAGTCAACACGTGAACAGTATGTTCCCACCACGTGAACGCCAGGAGACAGCATGACGACGCTGAAGCCGAGGTTTGCCTGCAGTGAGTGAGCTGAGAGAACCCCGTCCTCAGGGTGCGCACAACTGGGCAGAGATCCCAGCCCCAGCGTGCGGACCCACCCTCACGCCAGATTCAGACTCAGTGGCTCACAGTGATGGTGAAAATTCACATTTTTATTGGTTTATAATTTCTTCTTGGCTTCAAGGTTTCATGAAAATTGTAAGTCGTTTCCATCTAGTTTATATACACATAAGTTAAACAGCGTTAGAACCAACGACAACCTGAAGTGACACGAATCTTTCTCTGTTTCTAATGTTGGTCCCAGTGGAGGAGCAGGCAACTCTTCCCAGATGAGCAAGAAGAGGATCAGAGAGGTGACATGGAGCACATGGACGGTCTCCTGGCCAGACCTTCAGGCTCCCCGGTCAGTGTCCAGTCATCACCCGAATCGGGAAGTTAGTTCTAGTGTTCAGCTGTCCACTGGGAAACAAATCCCATCTCTAGCTACTTGCAGATATAAATGTTCGTCTTAATTTTGTCAAAGGGAAGAATTTTGTTGTTTTCAAAGTAGAATGATACACTGAGAAGTCATACACTGATTCTCACTAATAGCACCACTAGATTTGGAGGAGTTAAAGAACTATTACATAGAGACTGAGATGTCAGGAGTCCCAGTTTCAGAAATGTTAAAATAAGAGAAGGAGAAAAACCCTCCTCTGGTTCAGGAGAGAAAGCGCAGCACAGAAGCCGATAAAGCACGCCCCGAGCAGACCAGCCTAGACCAGCATTTCTCAGACTGCGACCTCAAGACCCTTTCACGCTTTAAAAGTTACTGAGGACCCCAAAGAGCGACTGTTTACGTGGGTTACAGCTAGGAATATTTACCATATTAGAAATGAAAATGAAAAAAAGATCTATTTATTAATTCACTTTTATGTTAACAATAATAAATCCATCACATGTCAACACAAACAATTTTATGAAAATTCTGTTCTACAAAACAAAGCTTATACAGCAGGAGAGCAGTGCTGTTGTACATTCTGCTTAACAGATGACGTCTGCTCTCACTTCTGCTCTGCACTGCGACCAAGCACACGAAGAGAAAAAGAACTCCACAAACATTTAGCAGGAAGAGGAAATAGAATTTTAATAATCTCTCCAGACAATTGTAAATCTCCTTCTTTGATACTTTGATATCAAAGCTTGACAAATGAGATTTTCTCAAAAGTCAGAGGCAACAGGGAATGTAAACTTCTCATTCTTCGTTACCCTAAAATCTACTCGTCCGTCTTCCACTTTAAAATGGACCTTTTACCCATGAGAAATTCGGTAACACCAGTTATTTAGAATATATTAGTAACCGGGTTATGCCAGTCTTCTAAGCATCGATGTGTTTCTTCACCCTGGAAAATCACATCTGTGAGTATCACTTCCAACTCCATCAGAAGAGGCATTAAGGACTGGGAAGCTGACATGCTCACAGTGGGATACAAGTTTTCCAAAATTTAACTCTACTAGGAGGTTTGACTGTTATCCTTGGCACCAGACACTCTCAGTCGTTGGCCACTTAATCATTTCCTAGAAACCCTGCCAGACACCAAAGTCTGAAAAACCACAGTCTTCCCGTCCTTTCAAATAAAAATACTGTTCCATTAAAAATGGTTACCCAGGCTTATAACTCAAACCATCACATGCAAAGTTGTTTTCAAGAAACTACTGACCTTCAATATGTCCGGGAACTTCATGCCAGCCCTCTGTTTTGTCACATAAAACATCAAACTGTGTCCTCAAGGGGCAGGACTCTCACATAAAAGTCATCATTTTTGCAGTTTCATTAAGAATAGTAGGTAAAATGGCCTTTTTTCTTTAAACTGTGGGTGTGCTGGGGGAAGAACTCCTTTGGTGGTGCTACCCTCTCACCCTGTGAGGGGCCTGCACCTGACCCACCAGAGCGCGTGTGCCACGGGTGCAGACGTCAACCCCGTGAAGGACACGGGTAGTAATGCTACAAAAGAGGCTTTGCTTCACAGCCTCAGCGATTCCACAGACCACCCATCAAGGACCGCTGTCCTCCCCGGGCCTCAGTCCATCTGTAACCCCACGGGGTCAAAGGTCCTCTTAGCGCTAAAAACAGCGTGATTCTGCCTATGGTCACACACTCCTGTGCTGGTAATCAGCCACCAACCTCATCCAACAGAACATGAAACAGTTTAAGAAGACGCACTAGAAAACTTGTGGCAGCGCGTGGCCACATCAACAGCCACTGCCAGGCGCCTCCAAGCAGGCGGAAGCACCACCAGCAGCGAGGGAGGATGAACGTGGATGAGCACACACAGAGTAGCAGGGCACAAGCGCCACGCCGGTGAGAGGCCCATGGCCACGCGGGACCTGAGTTTACTACAAATGCCTGCCTCCCCAACAAGACGCATCGAGACACAAAGCTGCCTGCTCAGCCGGCAAGTCCCCACCTCTCACTGTCATGCAAAGTGTAACGTCACATCAAGAACGCAGTTTTGCCCTGGACTCAGAGAAATAAATAAA